CACAGATTAACATTAAGTAAAATATTAAGTAATAATATTGTAACTATCAATATAAAAAAAGCTGGCAGACACTCACCTGAGCAGTTTGCAGTTTTGTCTTGCTGAGGAACAAAAGACATGGAGAAGTGGGGTAAAATAGATTTGTTCTAATAATTACTTCACTTTGTGTTGTAAATGGATTATTTACACATACCTTTCCTTTGCATTCCTTTACATACTTGATTTCATCATAGCATTTGTAGGTCTTTAAAAGGGTTTCGTTTTTGTAAACAACCGAGTCATCCATATCATCACTAGTTGCCAGGGTCTGGTTCTAAAATAGGCAGGGGGAGGAAAAACAAGTTAAACTCAATGAACTTTTAATGTAAAAAATAATTTTACACCCAAGACTTCTACCCTCATATCTGTAGGATATTAAAATGAATTTGATTCAAGACAACATCTATGTTCTATACCAGTATTTTTTCTAAAAGGTGTTGTAACTGTTAACATACCGCGTAGGACCAGTGGTAGTCGCAGTCTTCACTGTCTGAGACCCTGTAGGAGGTTAGGCCATGAGATGAAGTAACGGTGCAGCTCAATTCCAAGGAGAAACCCCTTGCAGGAAGCAAAGCTGTGATAAAAAAAGAGAGTTTGTGTCTCCATAATCTTTTTAGTACTAAAGGGGATGTAAAACAAATATTTACATAAATGTTGCTATAAATTTTATTCATTTACATTCACATGGGTTTATTACTGAATGCCATGCACCGGTTAGAAAATTTGATGTTATAAAACAGCAACAAAAGTTAAACACAAAAAGTTGTAGTTAAAGCAATTAACAACTTAGGATTAAAATTAAAAAGAAACTGATAGAACCAGAACCTAACATTTATAAAGTCAATTTGAATTTTTAAAATTTCTCTTCCAATTGTGTCTTGAATGAGATACTGAAAATCTCAGTGTGTTTACCAAGTTGTATGAAGTTTAAATATATGTAAAAACTGCAAATAAAAATACAAATTAATGAAACATTAAGCTATTTGTTTTCCTTATTTAAGATGCCGGCTAACCTTCAGACACTGAGTAACATGTCGCCGTGGTTGAAGCTGTAGCTGCTGTCTCAGATCTCTATGTGATCTGAGACAACAGGGTGGTGGAGCAGAAATGAAATACTAATTCCAGCTTCCCCTTCAACACCATCAACTGTTTGACTTAGATAAGATTATATATCAATGAGGTTTTACAGTGGTTATAGGGCTTATTATAAAATATTACAGAGATTACACCACAGCTTTACAGCCACAAGACAACAAGTTATTCTGCTCTTTACCACAACATCCTACTACCCTGAATTACGTTGAAGCTTAATCTTCATAGCTTATCTATCTATGAAACCTTTATCTTCATAGATAACAAGCATATACTGAAAATTGGAAACACACTGATAAAGTGATCTCTGTTCTCTGGTCCACCTTGCAGCACATTTACGATTAGTAAAATGAAAAACCTTGTGGTGAACCTTCACCACCAACAAAACTCAACAACGCTACAGATGTTTTCTCTGCACACTGTAATAACCATCTAGTTACTCAGAGTTTCCACTACATATATTCAGAGATGGCAAAACTACTCACTTCCCGTACTTGAGTAAAAGTACAAATACTTGTGTTGAAAA